CCTAGGAACTATGGGACAATATGGGAAGTGGGGGGAAGATAAAAACCCAGAACATATGGGAAAATATGTGGAATCCTGTTATCTGTGTGTGTATTTAGTTGTGTGTCCTTGGGCCCCTTCACCCTGTGGTGTCAGGAACCAGAGCCGACGTCGCTAAGGTAGACCGTTGCGGTATGTTCGATGAGGGGGGGGTCCCAGACATCCGACGATGCTATTTTTTTACCGGCGGTTTTCCTTCCATTCCGGCATCCGGGGCCCGCTTGCGAGCCTTGGGGCTCCGCACACTCGTCGTCTTCATGCGGGGATAGCTTCTGTTCGAGACATCCTCGAAAGTTCGGCCCGGCGGGCCTACTAGTAGTAGGGCTATTTGGGCGTACTAGTACGGCCCCTGCGGGTCGGCGGGGGCGTACTAGTAGGGCTACTTTGGCCTACTAGTACGACCAGCGGGGAGGGCCCCCGCTCGAGACATCCTCGGAAGTCCGCCCCGGCGGGGCTATTAGTACGGCAATTTTAGTCTACTAGAACGGCAGCGGGGGCTTGGCGGGCGGCGTACTAGTAGGGCTGCTGTGGCCTACTAGTACGACCGGCGGAAAGGGCTCCCGCTCGAAACATCCTCGCAAGTCTGCCCTGGCCGGGCTGCTGGCAGGGCCAAAGTAGCCGTACGAGTATAGCCCAGAGGGCCTGGCCGGGGCGCGCTAGCAGGGCTGCTGTGGCCTACTAGAACGACTGGCGGAGAGGGCCCCCGCTCGAGACATCTTCGAGACTCCGCCTCGGCGGGGCTGCTAGTAGGGCAACTTCGGCGTACGAGTACGGCAGCGGGGACTTGGCCAGGGCGTGCTAGTAGTGCTGGCATTGACGCACCAGTACGACCGGCGGAGAGGGCCCCTGCTGGAGACATCTTCGAAAGTCCGTCCCAGCGGAGCCTTTCGTAGGGCGACTTGGGCGTTCTATAGTGCGCACCCGGGGGCCTGCCGGAGGCGTACTCGTAGGGCTACTTTGGCCTATTGGTACGACTGGCGGGGAGGGCCGCCTCTCGAGACATTCTCACTCCGTGAAGCTATTGAGAATTTTAAGACGAATGTGCGCGGCGCTGAGGCGATAGCCACATTTTGAAAACGGGCCGCCCTCAATCCGCGAAGTTCCTGCATATGCTTGAAATTTTCGAGTGGGCGAAGATGGAGACGCTGCGTGTCCCCCGGCGGTGCACCCCAGTGTTGTTTTTGAGTTCCAAGTCGGGCCTCATTCCTCCTCATGCTGACGACCCTGTGGCGAGACCGCGTGGAGGCCTGGTGGGGAGTTTGCGTGGCAAGCTGGTCCATGAGGGGCTGGCGGTAACGAAGATGATTCCCTCAACGCGTTCTGGGGCGTTGGTGACATGCACTACGTCATCATAGGAACTCCCTCGCAGATCGATAATGTTTGATATTTCCATCCCTCAGAATGCGCGGGGTGTGGTCCAGTAGAACGCTTCTTGGCGTCGTGCCGCAAATCCGACGCGAGCGATGGCAGTTGTGCTTGGCCAAGTCAATTAGCAGCCCTTTCCGGGAACGATGGGATCGGAAAGTCTCGGGGGCACAGCATTGCGCGGCGCAGCTCGAGAGCCTTTCCTTCGTCACCCTCACGACGAGATGGAAGAAATCAGTGTGCCCCGCGATATCGCTGCGCCGAGGGAGGTGGCAACGCGACGACGCCGCATGCAGCAGGAAGTCGCGGCCGAGGGCGCTGCGCCGTGCTCCGGGGCGGCCACCCTCGCCCGGACCATCAAGGACTATTCGAAGGCCTTGCAGCCTCTCTCCGCCACAGGCGGGCCCACGAGCGCCAGGCTTTCACGGGGTCGGAGCTGCAGCTTGCTTCGCGGCGTCGTGACAAGGCAGCATCGCCTATATTAGCGCGGGCCGCGCTTCGCAGGGGAATGTGAGCGAAGAGTCGAAATTGCTGAGTTCGCGCGACTTGCTGCCCTAGCGCGACGGAGTGGGCGGACCCCCATCGGACGACGCCCCGCCAGCGGCGGTCTCTTGGGCGCCAAGAGCGACGCCTTTTCTCCCATGACACGCCAGAGGATTATTACAAGGCGCTCCGGAACGCAGAAGACATCGTTCACCCGAGCAATGATGGCCCCACTCAGGAGAGCGCGAACAGAGAATTTGATGTCTTCGCGATTAGGCTGGAGGCAATGCGACGCACGAAGATGCACGAATTCGCGCCATCGTGGCCCGCCCCGTCAGAAACATCCAACAGGACTGGATCCTTCGTGGTTCAGCCAAACCGATGTCATGCGCAGCAGCCGCGGGGATCGGGCGCGCGCGCGCGCCATTGTTCGCGACCGTTAAGTCCCGCGACCCGATCCCCCCCGACAAGCGTCAACTCCAACATCTTGAGCAGCATGGCGAGCCCTGGCGTCGACAACTCCGACTGTCTTCGCGCCCGCAGAGTTCCGCAGCTCCCCGCGCGGCCCCCCTTTGCCGCATCCCTTCGCCTGGGATGAGACAAGTGGCAGGGTGGGGCCCGATGGGCGGGGCGTTTTCCGCGCGCCGTGCTGCCGGTGGCAAGTGGCCCTGCGGGGTGGCCAGTTGCGCGGAGGGGCCGGGCCGTTCGCGCCCCGCCCCCCCCCCCGCCACCGAATCCCAGCCTTCGCCGATCGCGGGCGTACAGTGCCGTTTTTAATACATGCTCCGCGTGCGGATCATGCATAACAAATGCAGGGGGCGATTATTAAAAACAGCGATGAGTTCATGCAGGAATTTATGCATACATTAATCATGCATTAAAATCATATATTTCTTGTAAGAAAAACCCGATACATTAGAAATTGCCTTGCAGGCGCGAACATCTCGCGGCGGCGACGAGGGTCTCGGCGCGGCGTTGAAGACCCAGGCTGGCCAACCGACGCGGCTCAAGAGTTTCGGCGCCACGAACGCCTTCGGCGGCGGCCGCGCATTTCAATTGGCGCAGGGCGCCCGCGCGCACCGCGGGTCGCCGGGGAATGTGGATGACGCGGGCCTCGATTTACATCGCCAGCATTTCGTCTTGGCACCGTCGCGACTTGGCGGCGATTGCACCTGGGCCCGACCGCGAAGTAGGAGCGACGAGCGACGCATTCGGACGCATTGGGTTACACGTCGGAGCCCGAGGTGTTCGCGTTCAACTGTTCAGTTCTGCCATGTCGCTGTTTAGACGCGGGTCCCCTCGAGCCGGCGGCCGAAGGAGTCGCGCGGAGGCGCCGTGCTGATCGCGCTTGATAACTGTCCGCAGATCGACGCGGGCACGAGCGCCCTCCTGGATGAAATCCCCACGGCGCAGCGCGGCGCAGGAGTCGCGGACTGCTTCCGCGAGAGATCTCGAGTTTTTCCAGGCGAGGCGATTTCGGGCTCGACCAGGCGTTGGCGGCGAGGGCCCACTCAGAACGAGCCGAGCAGGACGCGGCCCCAGCCCTTCGCGCACGTCAGCTGGTTCATCGCACCATCCGAGCCTTGAGTGATAGTGGTCGCCGTTAAGTCTGCGAGTTGAAGCACTTGAGGGCCCCGCTCAACTCGGCGAGCAGCAACGGCAGTGAATTCGCTGCCAGGCTGCTTGCGATCAACAAGGGTTGAATGATGGTGCACGGCGTTTGGTATTCGGCGTCGCCCTTTCGCGTCGAGCTACCGATGTTCACGTCGTCGGTCAATGAGGCGGCCTTTTCGGGAACGATCGCATCTTGCTGGGCGGGCGCCGAGGGTCGGGCAGCCGCGTGGCTCGCTAGCCAAGAAGCTAAGTTCAATGGTCGGTGGCGCTGCTAGCGTTTAGACAAGACAGACAATGTCAAAGTGAAGAGGAAGCGCGAAGTGCACTGGCATTGGAATCGTGCCCCCTTTGATTTGGAGGCGACTATCCCGCTGCCTCGCGCTTGGTAGGCGGTCGCTCGCGAGGCAACCGCGCGCGCATCGCCTCCGCGCTTTCTTTTCCGGCGCGGCGAAGCGGGGGGGGCCCAGTGGATATCGCGGCATCCCGATGTTGCTCGACGCTGGAGCCTCAGGCGAAGATGCTGCGATTCGCCCCGGCCCGTCGACTGCGACGTGAGCTGGAGGTCGCGCGCAGTTGCTTTGAGGCCGAGACTCCCGCCATGGCGCGGGGGCGCGATGCCATGTTGGCGTTGCTGTGGGATGGGAGGGCCAAGTCCATCTTCGCCTCGCGCAACCCGAGGCGCCTGCACAGCGCCTTCGCCGCCGCGCTGTGGCGCCCATCGCAGCGCCTCGAAGGTCGCTGCGCCCCGGGATGATGAGCAGTCGCGGTGGGAACAGGAACAGAGACTTACGCGCGTTCGATGCGAGCCAAAAACGGCGGGCAGATTTACGGGCTCGGCACGCAGGGTATGGGGGGCAACGTATATTTTACACGCTAACGCCGGGTAGTGGATGCATTAATTGTGGCGCAGTGTTGTGAGGCATTTGGCACCGCCATGGCGCGTGGGGAGATGCCCCCCCCCTGCGCCCCCACCACCGCCACCGCCGCCACCACCACCACCACCACCACCACCACCACCGCAGTCTCGGATGAGAGAGTGCGGGCGGGGGGGGGGGGGGGCGGGCGGCGAAGGCGTCGACGATCTGCGGGGCGCTGAAGAAGCTCGCTGGTAGGTTTTTCAGTTTCGCAAATCATGCGCCGCGCGCGCCGCAAATGCAGATTTTTCGGTGCGGGTCGCTGGCGGGGCGCAGGGCTGGTCGCGGGCCGGTCGCGGGCCAGTCGCGGGCCGCGCGGGTCGCGGCGGGGGCGGCGACAACAACGACGCAACGCAAGAACAATAAGCATAATCTGCGCCGCGGAGCGCAATGTCGGCTGCGCGCCCATGGGCGCCGAATGACCGTTCGGCCACCTCGCTCTGAGTAAGCGCGACGCGGCGTGTCCGCGCATGTTTCCAGGGGCACCGTCGAGGGACCGCGCGTTGTTCGGTGCCCCCTTCACAGAGCGCGAGATTCCAGGCGGCAATTCGCGCCCCCGCCTGCCGCCCGCGCGGGAGCGCTGTG